ACAAAAACGCCGCTGACTCAAGCTGCTTGCCCAGGAGGATCCCAGCATTCCCAGAAGGGTCCTCACTCGCAGGAGGGAGCCGAATTAAAACTCAGCTCTCTGCTTGGAAGGAAGGATACTCATTTTGCAGCAGCACTGCAGCTCCAGGGCCTTTTGAATTGTGCACCTGGGGTCACTAGCAATGGCAGCTGGAAGCTGCCTGGTCTCTGCTGCCTGCACAGCTCCCTTCTGCACCTCTGCTCTGTTCAAGATTGCTTTGGTTTGCCTTCACTTTGTGGCGAGGTGAGAGTGAGCTGCTTTACATTCCAGTTACATAACCTGCAAAGCTGTGCCGCTGCTCCCAGCCAGGTGTCTGCGCCGCCCGCGTTCCCCCGGGCCCTCCGGCGCGGAGCGGGGACGCGGCCACGTGCCCGGCGTTCCTACGTGCGGCTCGGCGCGTCGCGCTGCGCGCGCAGCCCTGACTCACCGCGGCTGCCCCGCGCCGCCGAGCGAGCGCACAGGCCGCCAAAAACCATAATTTGTCCTGGCAAGTGTCCTTCACCTCAGGCCTGCCAGAGCTGCTGATTCACGGCGGCTCGTACAAGAAAGCCTGGCCACATGAAAAGCCCGACACAGTTACATTATTATAGGAATGGCTGCTGGGCAGCCCTGAACACCGTGTTTTCCCTCTCTAACATTTGCTCTTTGGTCCTTGAATGCCTGTGTAACAGCACCGCACTCTCAGATGAGCATGAAAAAGCTCGTTTGCTGGGAAACGGTTTGTGTGCAAAGAGCAACCACCAGGTCTGTCTCACGCCTGAAAATAAGATGTGGAAGAACAGGGAACAGCAGCATCTTAAGATGAAAACTGCTAGTTGCAAGCTTTAAAATGTGTGTAGATATGTGTGTATATATACACACACACAGATGAGTTCTCTCCCTTTTCTTCAGGAGCAGCTTATACTTCATGGAAATCACCCACCCACTCAAAAAGCCTTTAAAAATACACCAGAGGGGAGGCAAAGCTCAGTTTCATTGCAAGTCAGAATCTCCTTTACAAGAGATTTTCCATGGGAGGAGAAGTTCCCCGCAGACTCTGCGACCTTGGCCACGGCGGAGAAGCAGAGCAGGACACCCCAGCGCCCGCGTGCTGCACGCATCCAGCTCCACCAGCTCTGCAGTTTTATGCTTCCTCTTGCCTTTCGTTACCATAGATTTACGAAGCTTCTCCTGCATTCCTCCTCAAGGATCAGTTTTAAAATACAAGAGGAATGTCTGGCATTTCCCAAAACCCCAGGTTTTTAAAATCAGAAGGACAAGGATTTCAAGAACACCTAAAGACACTATGTGCTCTGTTAGCTTGGGCGGATCAAGAAAAGGGGGGTGGAAAAAATGTTTCTTTGGATGTTTTAAATCAATAAACCCAGTATACTTCCTCAGGGAACAAAAAGCAAACCCCTGGTTTTAATACTAGAACTGCCCACGCTTCAGGCAGGGTATATTGAACACGCCCGGTACTTTGCCGGTGTCTCGGGGCTCTTGAATATTCTAGAAAGCCGGGACCGTTTGAGGTCAGCGCAGACCAGTTTCAGCAGCTCAGTGACTAATCGGAGGCAGCGCATCCTGCTCTGCCGCAGGAAACGCGGCACAGGGGCACCCCCGGCTCTGCGCTCTGCAGTGCGGGGGCAATGCGGCTGGGAGGAGCAGCTCATGCCTGCTCTTTGCATGACAAATGCTGGGAAACCTGGGACAGTCCCCAGGCACTGCTGGGCTGGCTTCGTGTTAACTAATGTGACACCAAAGGGCTTTCACTTTCCTTTCTCACCCTGCGAGAGTTTCCAAGTTGCAGCCGGGCATGAGCAGAGTGGTTGAACATCCCTGGTTTTATCAGTGCTGCTACATGGGAGCGAGGGGCACGGGTCAGCTATGCTTGCACGAGCCCACTCCTTCTCCCAGCCAAGCTGGGCACATCCAGGGGCTCCAGGGCAGCCTTCTCAAGTGCCAGGGAAGCCAGACGGCAGCAGCAAAGCTGCAAGTTCATGTTACACTGGAGAAGGGCAGCGTTATGAAACCAGGAAAGCTCCCTGCCAACTCGCAGGCTTCCAAAAACATCCCCAGATCGAGGGGAAATCAGCTTCATTTGTTCCAGAAGCTGAAGTGACTCAACAAAAAGGGAAAAAAAAATTTCTAAAAATCTGTGGCAAATCAGGCTTTTAATAAAGTCTGTCGACTCTTCTCCCCGAAGGGAGAGAACAACATGTTCTCCTTCTGGGCAGCGTTTGCAGGAGGCAGCTTTGCACTTACATAACTGCAAGATGGCCACCAAAAATACAACCCCTGATCTGCAACACTGGCCCCGGCCCAGAGGGCACCGCCTGCTCCGGAGGACAGCGGCTCTTCCACGAGCGGCCGCAGGCTCCGCTCCGCTCCTCGCCCCCGCGGGCCGAGGGCTTTGCAGCCTGCCACGCGATGCTGATGCTGCTCGGCCTTTGGGAACAAATTCTGAGCTGGGGAAGGTCACGGGAGCTCTGCTAGCACCCCCTGCACACACATGGATTAATGGACGCTTCAACATGCGATTTAGCTCAGCCTCCCCCCGCTGAGAGGGCTTAAAAAAATAATAAAAATAGACCAATGTGGGTGACTAGCACGAAATATTTGCAGAAGATGTGGCTAGATAGATGTACTGCCAGCACAGACATAATATGGCACACATACCTACCGGCTTATCAAAGGAATACACTGCAAGGATAAGGGGCCTTGCAGGCAAGCTGCAAGCCTGCCGCCTCGCAGCGCAAATAGGGTAGCTACTGAAGAAAAAAAAAAATGCCTTTTTTACATAATAAAGTAAAGCTTTCTTTAAATCTGAAGCTAACTCTGGATGGAAACAGATTCTTCCGCAGCACGATGCTGCGGCGCATCCCGGGGACGAAGCCTTGCGGCGCGCTCGGGCGCGCAGCGGCAGCGCCCAGTACTGCAGCCCCATGCCCTACGTGCCGCTCCTCACAGCACACTGCGGCGCGGCCCGCGCCGCCGCGCTCCATCTTCCCCGGCAGAACAAGGGGATAAAGGACGAGCACGTGGCTCGCTCTCCTCTTCGGCCTCACTAGCGTTTTTCCCTACCAAATCAAAGCACCAGCTCACCGAGCGGCAGGGGAATTAACGAGCTGACTAACCGGCTTTACACCGGTCCAGCCAACATCACCTAAGGTTTTAATGAATTTATTCCTTCATGCAGACAAAGCAGCAGGGCAGACTGTGCAAGCAACAGGCCAACATGCAGGCCTAGAGCCACCTCCTAATTTCTGTAAGCAGCGGGAAGCACATTATCTCATGAAATCAAAGTTTCTTGGCAGGCTTTTAAATGCAGGGCTCTGCTTCAAACACCTGGTTCACAGCAGTTTCCTGTGCTGGCAGGGGAGGCTTTCTTTAATCTGGTCACAGGATGGAATAAGAGTTAGTTAGCAGCATTAAGACACATTAGGCCATCAAAGGGGAACTGCAGAGCTGCTCCTCCATCAAGCAGAGGACTCTTTTCTCAGCAAAAGATGCAGGCTACTCCTCAGGAGTGGTTACTTTTGATTAACTCAGATTTTGCTCTGGAAACAGGATATTAGATATAAAAATATGCTTTATGGCCGAATTTTCAGTGGGCACTTGGAGCAGCACAAGTGCCCTTGAGTTTCTCTGGGTAACAAGCGACTCTTATCCTCTGCCTCCAGCCTCAAAGCTTTGGCACCAAAGCAAGCCCCGACCCAGAGCGTTTCGCAGGAGCTCTTGCAGCACAAGGCGGCGGCCACATAGGCTGAAAAATTAGACATCAGCATCACAAATGCTCCTCGAAATCGCAATTCCTGTTAACCCTAACGCTGCAGGACGCCCTCGTGCTCCCTGATCCGAGGGGACAGCGGCGAGCGCCGCATTGTTCGCCCACAAAAGCGCCAGTCACGCGTCCCTAAGTGCCCCGGGAACACTCAAACGCGCCCCAAAGGTTTGCACAGCCCTTAGCGAAGTAGCAGGCTGAAAGAAATCGATGGGACGTGTCCAGGCGAGCGGAATCTCAGGAGGACAGGGGATGCATTCAGAGGGAGCCGCTATGAGCGCGCGGGGAAGGGGGCGGGTGGCCAAGCGCTCCGCTCCTTCCCCATCTGACTCAGCCGTGCCCCGGGAACACTCAAACGCGCCCCAAAGGTTTGCACAGCCCTTAGCGAAGTAGCAGGCTGAAAGAAATCGATGGGACGTGTCCAGGCGAGCGGAATCTCAGGAGGACAGGGGATGCATTCAGAGGGAGCCGCTATGAGCGCGCGGGGAAGGGGGCGGGTGGCCAAGCGCTCCGCTCCTTCCCCATCTGACTCAGCCTCCTAGAAGCTTCTGGCCTGGCGCGTTCACAGGCAGGAAGCCCCAAGGGGAAGGGGGGTGGGGGGTGCAACGCGGTCACCGAAGCTGGCCCCGGAGCTCCGCGGGGCTGAGTTGACCTCTGTCAGGCTGGCTGGCTCTCAGCTCTTTGCAATATTATTATTTATAAACACACACACACATAGACACACATGCTTTTTCAGACCAAATATTATCAGATGACATATAATTTAATCAAATTAATT